TTTTGAACCATAACTTGGGGCATGGATATTTTAAAACTCTTGATACATATCATCAAATTATATTCAGAAAAGTTATGCCAACATGCCAATTCTCTTCTCTCTGCAGTCTCATTATTAATTAATTTTTATTTTTTTAGACAGGGTCTCACTGGGTTGCCTATGCTGGTCTCGAGCTCCAAGCCTCAAGAGGTCCTCCTGCCTTAGCCTCCTGAGTAGTTGAGATTACAGGTGTGAGCTACCAGACCTGGCCATTGTCAGTTTAAACTAAACAGTAGCTACCATGCATAGTGAATGCACTCCTAAGGTTATACTGTCAGTGTTTCTTCTCAAAAGTAATCCAAAAAAGGAAAGAAAGTCAAACAATCTTTGAATCAATTATCTATTGCCACAAAAGAAGTGCAGCGATCACAAAATTTCACTGCTATCTATCTTACCATGCACTTTTAGTGTTGATGTCTCTGGGATCCGCTGGTGGTTGGCTGGGTGGCTCTAATGATCCTGGCTGGGTGTGCTCAAGTACCTGGTGGTCATCTGGCTGTTGGTTGGTCTAGCCTGGCTAGATGGCCCAACATCTCTCATCCTCCTCTTTTTTTTTTTTTTAATTTATATTTATTTTTATTGCATTTTAGGTTTTGGGTACATGTGAAGAACATGCAAGATAGTTGCATAGGTATACACGTGGCAGTGTGATTTGCTGCCTTCCTCCCCTTCACCTATATATAGCTGGCATTTCTCCTCATGTTATCTCTCCCCAACTCCCCACCCCCACTGTCCCTCCCCTCAATAAACGAAAACAACAGACCCCAGTGTGTAGTGCTCCCCTCCCTGTGTCCATGTGTTCTCATTGTTCAACACCCATCTATGAGTGAGAACATGCGGTATTTCATTTTCTGTTCTTGTGTCAGCTTGCTGAGAATGATGTGCCATATTGTCCCCATTCAGTCTATCATCGATGGGCATTTGGGTTGATTCCAGGTCTTTGCTATTGTAAACAGTGCTGCATCTCATCCTCCTCTTACCCCAGGCCTGCTCTCACGGTGATAGCTCAAAAACAAGAGAGAGAGGTCAAGCTGAGTCGTGCAAGTAAGTACTTTACGTGCCTCCGCTTGTGTTACGCTGGTGGGTGTGTCAGGGAGGAGTCAGAATGCCCACCCACAGATGGAGGTGACTGCAAAGTTACAGGGTAAAGTGTGGCTTCAGGAGGGGCTGAAGAATTGAGGCCCTTTAATGTGGGCCTCCACCACAATCTTAGAAAACAGTTACTTCCTGTTGTCATTTAATATTTCCTACTGAAAGAATAAGGTTGGAAAAAGGGAAGAAGCTCTTTTTATGAGTGAATGTAAAACTCTGGATAGGATAAAAGCCAGGACCCAATTTTTATTACATCTAAAAAGTAACAGGGATTCTGTAACAACTGTGTAAGACAAAAAGAAAACTCTAGAGAGGTGCTCTTTGGAATAAAATGGAAAGAAATACAAGTTCTTGGGGATATATAACTTGCCCAATTATTTGAACAAATTAATTCTTTTTTTTTTGAGATGGAGTTTCAGTCTTGTTACCCAGGCTGGAGTGCAATGGCGCGATCTCGGCTCACCGCAACCTCCGCCTCTTGGGTTCAAGCAATTCTCCTGCCTCAGCCTCCTGAGTAGCTGGGACTACAGGTGCGCCACCATGCCCAGCTAATTTTTGTATTTTTAGTAGAGACGGGGTTTCACCATGTTGATCAGGATGGTCTCGATCTCTTGACCTCGTCATCTACCCGCCTCGGCCTCCCAAAGTGCTGGGATTATAGGCGTGAGCCACCGCGCCCGGCCTGAACAAATTAATTCTAATCTGAACAAGTTTTAATGCTAATTCAATCAAAAGTTCCAGACATTTAAAAAAAATCTCTTTGTAGCTACATTCTCCTGGCTTTTAAGATATGAAGTTTCTTAGGCGGATTGAGTCACCTCTGCTCATTTCTCTGTTTACTGTCAGAAAAAAAGTTTCCCTCTTTCTTACATAATACATCTAAATTATTTTTCCAATTTTTATACATGTTCAAATTCTGTCTCTGAGTTAATTCCATCCTTCCTCACCAGCAGAGACAATTGCTCCTGTTCCCTTTTCCTGTAGCACTTTGCTTATTTATTTATTTATTTATTTTATTTTTTTCTATTTAAGGCTGAGACACCGAGCATTTTTCTTTTCTTATTTATTATTTTTTAATGGCATCATATTGTACTCAGGAGCCAGGGTTGGGGAGCTGGGGCGAGGAGACTACTCTCACTGGCATCAGGGGCCCAATCTCAACTGGAGGAGAAGAATGCATCATTATATTTTTAGATCATAAGCTCCCTGAGGGCAAGGACTGCCACTGGTGCTTCTATCTGGCATAAGACCCAACATGTAACAAGTATTCAGTAAATGGCTACTTGAATGAGGTGGTGTGTGGTTGAGTGCTTGGGCCCTCGGGCTGGCTTCTTGTTCTGAAATCTTGGCTATGTCAGTTACTAATTGGGTGTCTTTGGGCAAGTTAGTTCACTGCTTTATATGTTTTTTCTTTTTTTGCTTAAAAAGGGGATATAAAGGTAGCTGTTTCATAAGATGATACATAAAAGGCATGTCAGAATTTACGATTATTACTATTACCGCTGGAGGCTCTTAAGGTGGCAGGTGGGAGGATGTTACAGATTGAATCATGTCCTCCAGAGAAGATATACTGGAGCGCTAATTCCACCCAGTACCTCAAATGTGATTCTATTTCCTTATTTGGAGTAAGGACTTTAGAGAACCAATCAAGTTAAAGTGAGGTCATTAGGGTTACCCCTAATCCAATATGATGGTGTCCTTATAAAAAGGAAAAATACGAACACACACACACACACACACACACACAATGTCAAACAAAGATGAAGGCTGAGTTGATTTTTTTTTTTTGAGACGGAGTTTCACTCTTGTTGCCCAGGCTGGAGTGCAATGGCACAATCTTGGCTCACTGCAACCTCTGCCTCCCAGATTCAAGTGATTCTCCTGCCTCAGCCTCCCAAGTAGCTGGGATTACAGGCATACGCCACCACACCTGGCTAATTTTGTATTTTTAGTAGAGACGGGGTTTCTCCATGTTGGCCAGGCTGGTCTTGAACTCCTGACCTTCCGATCTGATTGCCTCAGCCTCCCAAAGTGCTGGGATTACAGGCGTGAGCCTCTGCGCCCAGCTGAAGGCAGAGATCTTCAAACCACGGAATGCCAAATACTGCCAGCAAACCACTGCACACTTGGAGAGCATGGTGGAACAGATGCTTTCTCACAGCCCTCAGAAGGAACCAGCCCCCAACACCTTGATCTCAAACTGCTAGGCTTGTTTAAGCCACCTAACTTGCGGTTCTTTGTTCTGGTAGCTCTAGCAAACTCGTACAGAGGGGCCATGGGAACCAGCAGCCCACCTTCTTCTTTGGGGACTGCATGCTGACTGTGGATTCCTGGCATCCAGGTGTACTCTTTCAGCTTCCATCTTTTCTGCATACCTCATGCCCCTGGCACATTTTTGAATGGTTATGCCAGGTCCAGAAGCCCAGGACCCCATAGGATATTTTGTGACAGGCCATTTGCCTTCAAGATAAAACTCAGTGGCCTTGACATCAACTCTTCTGGTCTCAGATCTCCAAGGTAAACTAGCTGGACAAAAGTATCTAAGTCTATTCCCAGCCATAAACGTGGTATGTAATTCCTACAGCACTGATAAAGGTTAGTCTGATCTTCCATAACTTCCTTCACTTATTCTGTTAGAGAGCCTCCTCTATAAACACATCCAAACCATGTCTGGAGTACAAGCTGTGTATGTCACTTTTCCCCTTAAAGTATATAATTGATGCGTTGTCAGCACATGAATTGGAAAAATATGGCCACAGAAATCAGGAGACCTGAAGTCCAAGCTTGACTTCAGAATAATGGTAAGATTAAAGCAGAATACTATAATCTGCACCTCACTATACATGATGATCTAGTCCAGGTTTTCATGCCTTAGAAGAAAAGTGATTTTCAGTTAGAACGAATCTGAAGTCAGCCCAGCACGTGTGGAGAAATGCAGTATTAACACGCCTTTCTGTCTCCAAATCAGTCCTCAGGTTTTTCCTTCTCCCAGTCCTCCACACACTTTTTTCTAGCAATAGAATATTTTCTCTTTAAAGAATAAATCAGCTTCCAACCACCCAGTAAGAGCCACATGGTTTGTCTTTTTTTTTTTTTTTTTTTTTTTGAGACGGAGTTTCCCTCTTGTTACCCAGGCTGGAGTGCAACGGCTAACCTCAGTTCACAGCAACCTCCGCCTCCTGGGTTCAGGCAATTCTCCTGCCTCAGCCTCCTGAGTAGCTGGGATTACGGGCACGCGCCACCATGCCCAGCTAATTTTTGTATTTTTAGTAGAGACGGGGTTTCACCATGTTGACCAGGATGGTCTCGATCTCGACCTCGTGATCCACCCACCTCAGCCTCCCAAAGTGCTGGGATTACAGGCTTGAGCCACCGCGTCCGGCCATGGTTTGTCTTTCAGAGGTTTGGAAGGAGATGATGCTGTTTCCATCTTGGGAGTCTGTGATATGAGTCACAGGACACAACATGTTTGCCTAGTGGGAACCTTTGTCCTGAGGTGATACTGCGTGTTAGGCTGTAGCCTGAAGCTTTCGTAGAGGCATCTCCATAGCTAGGAATTCATATAAGCCAGTGCCCAACTGGTTTACATAAAGGGCACTAAAAAACCGAAACCTGTGTGGTTTGTGTAGGGTCCTTATAGGCATACACAAGGAACTTGTTACAAAAGCTCTCCTCTTTATTCATGGATTTGTGAGCCCATACTATGCTTTTTTTGATAAATATTTTTTTTTCTTGGGACTTTTGAAAAATCATAGCAGCTGGTAGCCTTCTGTGCTGTTTTATTGCTTACATCCAGCGAGAGCATAAGGCAGGATACAAATTGTTATGTGTTGTCCTAGACTTCCGTTTGCAATAAGGAGCATACACAATGCCATACCAAAGTGAGTTTATTGACATTCCTTGAAGATGGTGTGATGGAAGAGAAAGCGCGGCTGAGTGTCACGTGACATTTCTCTTGTTGATGTAAGCAAAATCAGCCCAGTAACGTGGACCTCTCCTGCTATGCACTGGAACAGACTTTTGAACAAAATTGTTATAGACATTTCCTCAGATAAACCGGAAGCTGCAGGAAGTAGGCTAAAGGAACAATATTTACTCTATATACTACCTCTAGGCACCTTTTTTTCTACTAGAACAAAGAGACTACATGTCACTAACAGGAAAATAACACTTTCTCTTTTGGACCTTATGATGGCTGGAACATCCGTCCCAGATTTTTATGATATAGTATTGCACTAGTTTTAATAATGAACACTGAAGTACGTAATAATAATAATAATAATAAAGCACCACATTTGTTATGCAAAGTTCTAACTACTTTCATTTGAAAGTGTTTCACCTTGACTGGGAAAATAATTGTGGCAATTGAGAAATTTTTGAACCCAAATTTTGGACACATGGTTTGACATATGGACTGACAATACGATGGATGTAATATTAAAACTATCCTGGAAAGCTCAGCCATTGGCTTGCCACACAAATACGCTTATCGTTAAAGGACATATGGTCATGTATCAAAAGAAAATTTAGATCTTGCATGTTTCAAGCCTGCTCCCCCAAATCATATGTCTCTTTCTCTTCATTTTTTCACCACTCTCTCGGCATCTTCACAACCCCCACTAATTTATATACATGGGAAATTACAAAGAGTTTAGTAGATTTGGAATACTTCTGTCCCCGTAGAGTCAATTTCTATGTTTAGGATTATCATCTTCACACTATAGAATAGAACATTTGTGATATCCATGAAATTATTATCATGACACTTTATAGCATTTTAAAAGCATTTTTCAAAGTTGTAACATATATATTCTCTTATTTATTGTTCTTGTTTGTCCCCCGATTCAGGCTAATGCCCTCTTAGTAAAACCAAATCTAAAAGATCTTGTTTTAGAGAGATTGTGGCTTATAAATTTATAAGCGATTGATTTTGCAGTTTGCCTCCGTGGAGAAAACTCATGCTTAAAAAAACGTTACAGGTGGCAACAAATAGATCTTTTCACCGAACTATATAACTTAGGGTGGTTTACACCTCCACCTAAGTGAAATTTAGTTCCGTAGCTATTTCATTTAATGTGCATATCAAATGAAAAATTATATATAATTTAAAAATCAGCCTTATAAATAAGGTAAACATGATCTTTCCATAGCTTGTTTCTGTGTTCCTCTTCTCTTTGTTTTTCTTCCTTAAGGATTCTATGCAAAGTTGCAATGAAATAGTGAAGCCCTGTGAAGCAAGCTTCGTCTTATTCCAGGTGATGTGACGTCAGCATTTCTTTATGACACTCTGTACTTTTGCGAACTATTGTTCCTGTTATGCTTTATGGGACAGATCTACACAGCTATGACATCAGTAGGGCTGGTGGAAAAGGAAAAGTTAGATGAAAAATCATGGATGTCAACATTACCTAGCTATATAGAATTTCTGAGATACTGCATTCCTTTTGTATATGGGTAGAATAGATATTAATTAATCTCATTAATAGATTAATTATTTATAAATTGTAAAGCTCTCCAGGAGCTGATCCATCTAGTAAACAGCTTTCTCCCTTTCCAATGCCTGACAAATAATGCAAGTACTAGAAAGAGAGTTGAATGTTTGAAGTAATGAGTATTTACATATGTATAACATGAAGTTCTAAAGATAAAAGATGCCCCTATATTAGAGATGCTGTTGCCAGAGTTAGAATAAGGATATGGTTCAATGATTTGCATAGTCCTCATGCTCTGATTTCATAAATAATAGCTCCATTGGAATCCACTATTTTTCAGATGCTGAAATGGGTACTGAATTTTACATACCCCTCAAATTCTATATCATATAATTTACACATTCCATCCTGTCTCAGTATTCTTTTTAGACAATAAAAGGCTAAATTTCTATAATGTATACTCCTTGATTGACCATGGACACATAGCTGCAAGCGGTGCTGGGCATTGTAGATAATTCCTACTAAAATAATGCTTTATTTTATTTTTGTTTTGAGATGGAGTCCCACTCAGGCTGGAGTGCAGTGGCACAATCTTGGCTCACTGCAACCTTTGCCTCCAGGGTTCAAGCGATTCTCCTGCCTCAGCCTCCTAAGTAGCTAGGATTGCAGGTGGGTGCCACCACACCCAGCTAATTTTTGTATTTTTAGTAGAGATGGGATTTCACCATATTGGCCATGTTGGTCATGGGGTTTCACTATGTTGGCCATGTTGGTTTCAAACTCCTGACCTCAAGTGATCTCCCCACCTTGGCCTCCCAAAGTGCTGAGATTACAGGCATGAGCCACTCACTATGCCCAGCCAGAATGCTTTAGAGTGTAGAAACACAAATAACACACTGTCCAGACACAAACTGGTATAATGAGCCACCAGGCATGACTTCATATGAAATTAACTTAGTCTTACATTTCTCCCCATTTTAATATGGAAAACAATAATGGGACATTTAAATAGTGGAGTCTCTTGAGTGCTTCTTTTTCCCAGTGAAGAAAAACACTTTCATTTATGACATATTTCAGACAACTTGGATAACAACGTTAGAAAAATAGCAAATGACCATGATGGTTGGGTTTATTTCAAATGTAATTGAGAGGTTAGGCTGTCTTTGGAGCCTGCAATTGTTTTTCTGACAACAGGAAGTTTTCTGAGTTATGTTTTTACTGAATGCTAAAAGAAACTGGATATTGATTTTGATACAAGTCGATGTGCCTTTGGGGTGTTCTGTTTCTGCCCCGGGAGGATTGCTATGGGTGAGGGAAAAGTACTCTGTTGCCCTTGATCCCTAACAAGCACCATCACTCTCTGCAGCTTCCTAGTGTGGTCCCGATGGACAATTGAATGAAAGGAACTTGAACGCTATGATTAAGAAAGGAAAAGGAAAAAAAAAAAAGTGAAAAAACCAATAACAAAGTTTTAAAAAAAGGGTTTGTCTGCCAAGCAAAGGAAAGTCATGGCCATCTTCTACACGTTTTTTTTTTTTTCCTTTGCGAAGCACTGTGGCTAAACAGAACAGAACAGTACAGAATTCAGGGATGGAAACCAAGGGCATATGTCCTTCTTCCCCTTCTACTGCCACATTCTACACAAGACAGTGGGGGTTGAAGCCTCAGCCTTCATGCTACATCAATCAAGAAGGTTTCTTTCTTGGACAGGTGCACACGTTTGTGCTTCTTGTGGTGTGAATATTCGCTAGGGGTGCTCCCCCTCCTAAACTTCTCTGAGTGGAGCCCACGATCCCCACAACCATCGGGACGCACTGCATCGCATCAGCAGCAGGTGTCTTCTTGCTGTTTTAATTGTTAGAAGTGTCATATTTGCACCGTTTATGTCTGGGCTAGGTCTGGCTGATGGGACTGATGCCACATGTGAATCATGAGTTGAATGTATAAAAATTTCAGCTTTGCCACTGTTGTCCTTTGGATGGATATTATGCACAAGGAAAAGTAGAGAGTGAGGAAAACAAAGAGTTGATCAGCTCCTAGTTCTGAAGTTGGTTGTTAGAAATTATTAAAAATGGTGGCTCTGCTCAGAAGACATGGGCATATAAAAGCTTGGAGTGCTTAATGCTCACATTTTCCCTTAAATGATAGAAATGGAAGTAAACATTTATTACCATTTGGTCAAGTGTAGCTTAACTTGCATTCATATTTCATTGTTAGTAATGGAGGTATGTGGAGATATACACAGACCTTGAGACAGCTGCTTTTTAATATTGCATACAGGCTAGCAGTTCATTGAAAACAGAGGAGAGAAGCCTGAAGGTTAGATCTTAGAAGAAGGCAGTTCTTCATGCACAGCTTTTGTCAATCCTGATTTGGTTTGAAAATAAAAATCATGGAATACCAAAATCAAAGGAGAGTTGATTAAGGGAAAGGGAAAAGGGGATCATCCCAGGAAGGGTGATGTCACTGGCCAGGAAAATGTCAGGCGAGGTTCCATGTCCTCACTCAAGTCCAAAGGTGCTGGTTTCCTCTACTGCTGTTAACAGCTTTTCATACAACATGGAGTACGAGGGATACGGTGGAAGATCCAGTCGGTTGAAGCATGTGTGTGCCCTGAATGGGGAGAAGAGATCGGTGAAAGTGTTTGTTTCAATGATACAACTGGTTCTGGATCTGTGACTTAGTCTGAAGTTGTGATTCAAAAGGGAATCAAAAGTGAGCAGGACCATGATTTAGGACCACCATAAAACATTGCAAACTAAGAGCCATATTCCTCTAGAATGAATAGACCGGTGGAAGGAATGGAGTAACTAGAAATGGGTTGTTTGCATTTGTAAGCAAACCATACTACACTAGAATGACACTAGCAAACGGATTATAAACTCTATGGTATCAGCCTGATTTACAATTGAGTTATAAACTCTGATGTGGTCAATGAAGGAGGCAGAAATATAATTAGTATTGAAGGATTATATTCCTAGGTCTTGTCCAGCTCTCATTTCTGAGCCTCTGTGAACCGCATGCATCTAGAGGAACCTGAGATGGCCTGGAATTCTGAGATCCAGTTCTCCATTCAAGTCAAGTGTGCTCTGGAAACAAGTCTGACTTCCCTACCCCAGAAGAACCCACGGAATCTAAAGCCAAAGTGCCACATTTCCAAGAGAAGCTGCCCCTATGAGCCAGTCCTCCTGGATGCCTGGAGTGTCCTGGCACCCAGGGTTCTGCTTTGCTTCATGTGCTTCCTCCTGCATTGCCAGTGTCTGCCTTGGACAAGGAATGTCTTCCTCGCCGGTGGGTAACACCTGGACCTGGAAGACTCATGCAGGTCTCCAGCAGTGGGTGCAAGAAGCCCAGCAGGCCTAGATTCTCTGCTGTGGAGCCTTGAATCACCTGACTGGCTACTCCCTGCCAGAAGTTCTTTGTTTTTACAGAATCTTTGGCTGATGCCAAGTCCTGTACCATACATAGTAGGGAGAAAGGTGGATGGGTGCAGGTGAAAGTTCATTTCCTGCCTTTTCCTCCCTAAGAGTGGTGTGTTGAAATGGTGAGACACCAACCAGCACAGAAAAGGGCACTCTAAAATCAAACCAAACCAAATCAAATCAAATCACAAAACAAACATACAAAGAAACAAACAAAACTAAACTCTCTTCATTAGAGTTTTATTTGGGATATTAAACTCTTCTTTTCATTACAAGATCCCTAGGGGACTTGTGTATTATTTACACCTTTGTTTTAAAGTATATAAATCAGAGTATCAGATCACAGCCCAGGCTGATGCAGCACTCAGGTTATGGGAGGAGATTATTTTGGGGATGAGGAGGGTGGGAAGAGGAAAGAGGGAAGGTGGGGTTTCCTGCCCAGCGAGAATCTAAGGAGGATGCTGGTGTTTTCATCTGCCCAGCACCCATCCTTCCTCCTGGCAGTCCTTGGAACTATGGAACTATTCCTAACCCCCACCTCCCTCCTCCCTGTCCCCTTTCCCACTCAAGATCCAATGGCAGGCACAGGATAGTAGAGTGTCTGGTCTTAGTCCTTAAAGACGTAACTGGGAAGAGACATACAAATAGAGATAGAGATTAAACAGGCCTACCTTCACTTTAAAAGAAAATAATTGAAATATTTTACCTAGTTGAAAATATGTGAGTGAAAGGGAACTCAGTAAATTGAGTAGGATGATTACAGTGATTCCTATCTAGGTTAAAAGGATTGTGACAAAACTAGAACATACATTGGGTGATGGCTAAACAGGTGAGGTAGGGCAGAAAAGTCCCAGGCATGCTTTTGAAACTAGCCGAATTAGCCAGGGGCGAGATAGGAGCAGGCATCATCTTCATAGTTTTCTTCTTCTGGTCATTTTAACTGGCACTCATGAGTGGAAATATTACAGGAAAAAATATCATCTTTACAAATTAGTTGGAACCAAATTAATTCTGTAAAAGATCATTTCTGGGAGTAAACAGAAAGCATTGACGAACAGCACCTAGTCTGAACACCCATGGTTTCCTTACTAGTTGCTTTTATTGCATTTATTGAGAGCCTTGGTGAACTCCCTTAGTCTGTCATCTAGAATGAATGAACACAATCAAATTATGATACAACTTGGCACTGCTAAGAGCTCACCACCCTCCAGGCGTGGTTCTGACAGCACCCCGAGTGCCTGCTTGCCTCATTCCCCGTGCACCAAACCAAGCACTGCCCAGTGGCATGGGGCAGTGGATAGCAAGAAACCAGGACTTGGAAGACCTCTATGCTGACCCCAGTCTAGCCACTTACCAGGTTTATGACCCTGGGAAAGTCAATTAATCTTCCTGAGCCTCGGTTTTCTCACTTGTAAAGTGGGGATAATAACATATGCTGCGTGCACTTCGGAAGGTTATGGGGATGATCAATGCTAGAACACATGTAAATGCGTTTTGTAACCTGCGAATCATCATTTAAACATAAGATTCTCCTGACAATGCAACCATAATTGTGATAATGATTTGGGGAACCATGTCATACTTGTGGCAACTGAAGCCTCTGGGGTTTTGCACGTGACCTACTGGCAGGTGACACATTTTCTTCTCACACTTGGTGCGATGGATATTTTGGAGCTGCGCGCGGGTCTTTCAGCTGGGTCGAATTCCACGCCATTGGCGTCAAGCTAGAGTTCCAGCATTTTGAGATAATTTTGGATTGGGTTGTGCCAATCCCTGTATTGTTTATCCTTTTAACTGTGTCATCTACACAGTTGATCTCCCTGTCTCCTCTGTTTTTCCAAGTTACAGATTGAAATGTTAACCAATACAGGGCCAAAGAAAGTCTTGCTCCTCTGTACCAGAGACCACTTTAAGGTTGGCTAGAAACACACAAAAGAGGTGCAGTCACTACTCTTTGCTGCCAGCTGTTCAGCCGGTTGGGTAAGTTGTGTCTTCCCTTCATGCCGATCTTCTTTCTCTGCCTAACTACAGTCTTGTTCTCTTCAGATAGGCCTTTCTCTCTTCCCCGCTAAACCTTGTCTTTTTCAAGTTTGTCAGTAACCTCTTGATCCCTACATCCAGCGCTTCCTCTGGAACATCACCCTCCCTTGGCTTCTCTTTGCTTTCTCAATGGCTTCCATTTTCTCTGCTGAGCTCCCTGATGGTGCCCTCCGGCCTCCTTTGTAGGTCCTCTTCTGGCCTCAGGTACTACAGAGAAGCACTTCTCCTTGGCACTATTCACTTTTTGAACTTGATAACTCTCTGCTGTGGGAAAATGCCCACTGCCTCTTGTTGGGGAAGAGAGGCCAAGTCGCCTTCCCCAGCCCCACCTTGAGAACACTGCTACAGAGTAAGCCAACTACTAACTTGACAGGGCCTCCCATTTCACCACCGGCCGGGATCAGTTTACATCTGCAGTAAGACATGTTCATATTAGAATTTCATTTGCAACTTTTAGGCTGGTTAATTGCTGATGACTCAGAGCTCTGATATCCCTGGTCCCTGCCCCACATGTAAACCCAAGATTCTCTCCGCTTCTTTATTCCGTCTCCAGTGCTATTTAACCCTGACCTAGCTTCTGTGCTTCTCTTTCCTTCCAAGCCTTTCCTCTGTTCTCCTTTGAGCTCTTGTTCAAAGTAAAGAAACTTCGCCACCTCCTTAAGCTCTTTGCAGATGGTGCCTCTGGATCCCAGTGTCCCCTCTCCAGTCCTCATGGGTGGAAACTGCTCATTGCCCCACATGCTGTGACATGGATGGACATTCTTCGTGCTCCCCGCTGTCAATTCCACGAGGTGACTTTGCAATCTTCAATCAGTTTCCATTCCTTTGAATCTCATGTCATTTAGATAACTTATTTTTAAAACCACAGACCTTGGCTGGCATTTCATTTTAATGAAATAGGATAGAGCAGAAAATAGATTTTATTGCAGACAATAAGGGTAAAGAGCTGTTCTGAGGAACTTGTGTTTCAGATATACACACATCTGTGCAAATGAGCACATGTGGGTGTCCTGAGTTGTGACACAAAAGGCATTTCTTTTTGTGGGCTATGGTTTAAGAAGCTTGAAAATCAGTGATCTAGGTAGACCTTTAGTTTATTCTGACCCTTCGAGCTTCTAGCTTATTACAGTTATTGATACTCTGGCACTTTGCCTAAGTCTTCCTCCTACCAGACTGTGTGGCAACCAAGTCCACATGGCCAACAGGTTGAACACGCCAGCCCCCAGTTCCGTGACCTCAACCCAGTGACAGTCCTGCCTCTCATTTACTTTAGCTACAGTGTTATATGAAGTTTCCTCACAGGCACTATGAAATTATATCCTGTAAACCCCCACCCTCAAAGTCCCTTCTCCTGGCCCTCACACATCTTTTGGCAGGCAGGGATCTGCACTGATACAAAGGTTCTACATAGCCTAGGCTATCATCGGGTTTGGCCGTGGCGGTGTCTGGCGCTCTCATCTGGGAAGCCAGTTGCCTTTCTTTTATGCAGAGGGCAGACCTGAAGAAAGAGCTGTGGGCCGTCTCTCCCAGGGTGCTGGCCAGGGGCACTGTGATTCACAGTATCTGGGAAGCCCATGCCACCTTGGGTCTGCTTTGCTTCTTGCCTGCGCAGGGCTTCCTGCCACCTGCCATGGCCGAGCCAGGTCTTCCCGAACAACAGTTTCTGGAAGTCAGAGGTTTTTTTCCTTCTATCCACATGCAGATGACATTTTTTTTTTAAGGTTCTTGGGTCTTCAGACACCATCCAAGGGAAACTGGACAGGGGGCACTATTTACAGTATTATTTTCAGTGACCTCTTAGAGGCATTTGCTTTTTGGGGTCCTCTTGCCCCAGGAAGAGATCCCTGTTTCCCCAGGAAACCATCTCTGGGGCTTGTGGTACAGCAGTGCTCTTAGGGGTGCCTTGGTCCAGATATGAAGGACCTGTTCACAAGTCCAATGTCCGGCTTAGAAGCTGTGTGGGTTAATAATATTATCGTATATTTCAAAGCTTCCAAAGCAAACACAGAAATGATGTTCAATCTGTGACCCCAGATGACAGAAGCAATGACTCTCATTTCCTAAAGAATAAAGTAGAGACTCCTCAGCATGATCTTTTCTTTTTTCCTTTTAATTTGAGACAGGTTCTCACTCTGTTGCCCAGGGTAGAGTGCGGTGGTGCAATCACAGCTCACTGCAGCCTCAGCCTCCTGGGCTCAAGTGATCCTCCTGCCTCAGCCTCCCATGTAGCTGGGACTAAGGTGCATGCCGCCATGCCTGGCTAATTTTTTAATTTTTTTGTAGAGATGAGGTCTCGTCATATTGCCCAGGTTGGTCTTGAACTCCTGGGCTCAAGTGATCCGCCTGCCTTAGCCTCCCACAGTGCTACGATTACAGACGTGAGCCACTGTGCCCAGCCAGCAGGGTCTTTTGTTTGTGGCTCACCAAACTCTTTCTCAGCTGCATCCCCTTGATGTTGCTCGGGGCATCTTACCCTCCGCACTGGCTGGCTGCACCTTCCGGAACATGTGCTGCCATTTCCTGCATTTCCTGCTCCCAGCGCTTGCTCATGCTGTTGCTTCAGCCTGGAAGGCCCCTTCTCCCTAATCCTTGTCTCCCGATGCTCCCCTAAATTGCCAGTTTCTTTGTGGCATCTTCTCTGGGCAACTTGATTGGGAATCTGTTTCAAACTCTCACAACACGGGGCTCTTACCCGCTGTGCTCCTCTGATTCTACCTTGTGCTGTAATTAGTTACTATTGGGCTGTGTTCTCCCTAGATTACAGGCTCCCATGGGCAGGTGTGTTCTTGTAGCTCAGCCCCTCCTCAAGCTGCATGCTGCAGGGGTAGGCTATCATTCATTAGTCAGAACTCAAGCTGCATTTCTCTAAAATAAAAGCAAGATGTTTCCAAATGACTATATTCTTGAAATCTATCGTTCAACTTAACAAATGGAAATTCTGCCTTTTTAGTCTTCTTTTCTTGACAGACTTGACTATGTTTAGCTACTGGTAGAGCCATGCAAATAAGAAAGACCCTTGGAGCTGATGATCTGCTGAACTGAGTGGGTGAAGTCAGGGCTGAAGCCTACGCCAAGGTGTTCAGCTGTGGTTAACCAGCTGGGCATGCCCATGAATGCTTATCGACACCAGGTGAATGGTCCTCGGGGAGAATCCAGAAAAGCTAGGTGAAAGCTACAGTCCAGAAAATCCTTCTGCAATAAGGATTTAGCAGAGGTATTTGGGTGGCCATGTAGAAACAGAGGTGAGTTAAATGCAAAGCTTCTTTATAATTAGAATGTATCCTATTAGCAAAAGATAATAGGGGTCAATCTTTTCTTCTGTCTGTTGCAGCAGCATTTCTTACCATAGCACCTATCACAACTGTCTCTTCAGTGCTTCCTGATCAGGAATGCACTACCCAAAGTGCATAGAAAGGACTCAGGAGGTGCTGGGATTAAAACTCACAGCGCCGGGAATTTCTTCTTTAAAACTGCCTGGAGCCCCAGCGTCTCCTTTTCAACATTTATCCCACAAGAAATGTGCTTTTTAAATAGAAGTCACCATACAGACCCAGGGATACATGTGGTCTCATCCCCACATTTTAAAACTTGGTGGGAAAAATCTGACACATCATGAATATATAATGATCCTATGAAGTATCAAGTGATACACTGTTAGAAATACATATATGATGCTCAAGGGGTTACTTCCAGGTTCCGGCATCTTTATATTAATGTCCTGGCCTCCGCCCTCTCCTGTGTTAGACATTCATCTATAAATTAAGTTGGGCTATGAGAGCATCCCATGACTGACACACAGACCAAGATACTACAGCTCAAATACCATCGGTCATCAAAACCTCCCTAAGAATAATATAGTTTCGATCCAAGTCTCAGAGCCACCTCACCTTCACCTTTCCCTAAGAACTCAATGACAATACTTTGGGTGACAGGAAAGAATTCCATCCCAAAGGACGGTCACTCAAAATCAAATAGCAAAGTATACTTTGCCCTCTTCAGCAGGTTTCCCCGAAGGCTGGCAGGAGCTCTGTACCTGGGGAGAGAGGTAATTTTCCCCCATTTCTCTATGCAGAAGCGCCGGAGCCCATTGCTCCCCCGGAGGGCTGCGAAGCCTTCGTAGGGCACGCTGGAAGTTCCCGTGACGAACTGCAGTAATCTCAGCCTCTGCTCATTATTGAAGCGCTCCACCGCGGCCCAGAACCAGCGGATCACAAGATGCCCATCGTGGTAACCTGCACGAGACGAAGGGAGGGAGGAAGAGAGAATGCAGAGAAAGGAGGAAGGGGTGAGGGGGAGAGAGATCAAACACACATCAGGTATGATAGGAACAGAACCGCTGCTTTTGATCTGATTAATCTCATAATTGCCTTTAGAGTGGTCTAAAATAATTTGTGTAACTAGGTCAAGTTTTAGAACAAGAGCAGATTTAGAAAATAGTCATTTTATAAAAGAACTTTATGTTCTGTGGGACATTCCTAGAGATGTCTGCTTTCTATTTGAACAACTGGGACTCCACTTGAAATGTCTCTGCCTCACGTAGGTATAGATAAGGAGTAGAAGGGCCTGGTAGAGACCAAAGGCCCTATGAACGCAATATTGCATCACGTTTCCTTTGTTCTGCTGTCTTAGCTCTTGGCCACCACATACCAGGGGAGACTTATAAGTCTCGGCTGAAGGTGAACAGCCAGTTTGGTGAACAGGAGATCCCAGGCTCTCCCGCAGGGCAGCTGCTCTCAGGCCAGCCCTGCGTGGAGACATGCTGGGCCCATGGAATAGGTAGTGGGTCCCTCTCACAATAAGCTGGGGAGACCATGATTGGATGAATCAGTTATATGATTTGCCACTGACTGCAAATGTAAGAGGCCTCCAGAGAGGGAAGAAATGCATGTGTGCCAAGGCAGAAGCAAGAAAAGCTTCAGAAAGAAAGTGAAGCTACGTGCAGTGTGGAAGGGTTTGTGCAAGTGGAGGGAAGGAGGAGGACATTCCTGGCAGGAAAAATAAAGGATAGCAAGATTGAGGAGGAAATACGCAGGCAACAATAAGCCCCTAGGGTAGAGGGGCTTCTGGTGAAGGCAGGAAGAAATAGCGCTTCTGGGGGTGTTATGGGGCCTTCACAGCCAGGCAGAGATTTTTTTTTTGAGACAGAATCTTGCTCTGTTGGCCAGCCTGGAGTGCAGTGGTGTGATCTCGGCTCACTGCAACCCCTGCCTCCTGGGTTCAAGGGATCCTCCCACATCAGCCTCCTGAGTAGCTGGGAATACAGACATGTGCCATCAGGCCTGGCTAATTTTTTTTTTTTTGAGACGGAGTTTCGCTCTTGTTACCCAGGCTGGAGTGCAATGGCACGATCTCGGCTCACGGCAACCTCCGCCCCCTGGGTTCAGGCAATTCTCCTGCCTCAGCCTCCCGAGTAGCTGGGATTACAGGCACACGCCACCGTGCCTAGCTAATTTTTTGTAATTTTTAGTAGAGATGGGGTTTCACCATGTTGACCAGGATGGTCTCGATCTGAGGCCTGGCTAATTTTTGTAATTTTTTTTTTTAGAGGAAAGGGTTTCACCAGGCTGGTCTCAAACTCGTGAGTTCAAGCAAACTGCCTGCCTCAGCCTTCAGCCACCATGCCCAGCCAGGCAGACAGCAGTTTTCATCCTGTATCAGAAGAGCCTAGGGCCTTATACCAGAGGCTTTGCAGGGCTGAAAGTTCAGCTTGGGAGTTAGAGAAGGGCATGTCCGAGCTCCTGCTTTGTACTAAAGTACGGCCAAGCTTTTTCTAGTCTTCAAAAAGTGATGAATTTTATATGCATGCAATGGAATGTTATTCAGCCATAAAAAGGAATGAAATACTGAAACATGCTACGTACAACATGGGTGGACCTCAAAACAGCAGGCTGAGTTAAAGAAGCCAGACACCAAGACCACATTTTATATGATTCCATTTCTATGACATATGCAGAATAGGCAAATCCATCGAAACAAAAGGCAGATTGACGGTTGCCAGGGGTTGGGGGAAAGGGGCGAGGGAGTGAGAGCAACTGCTTGATGGGTACGGGGTTTCCTTTTGGGGCATTGAAATTATTCTGGAAGTAGCTAGAGGCAATGGTTGCACAACACTGTGACCGTACTAAACGCCACGGACTTGTCTGCTTTAGTCACTTCATGTTACGTCAGTTTCACCTCAACAAGACAATCGCTTGGCAAGTGCTGAGTTCTGTCTGCGATCATCGCGTCGTCACAGCTCCTGCCCACTCACCTCCCCGGTACTCCGTGTTATTCCGCCAGTCATTCAGGTCAATTTCTGCGGTTCCAGCAATCACCAGCTCCAGCTCCCTGGCATCAAACACGGACACCAGCCTTGAGTCTACAACCTGAAATGCAGGTTAGGCTTCAGCATCCAGGTCCAAACACACAGAAAAGGATATATGCACGATCATATTTACCTGAGTTAAACTGGGAAACTGACCATCACTGGCAATACTTTTTTTCAGTTTGCAATCATTTTTAACTTGAAAATTATTGCTGTGATCTGAATGTTTATATATCCCTTTCCTTCCCCAAATTCATATGTTGAAATCTTCACCCCTGAGGCCATCGTATTAGGAGGTGGGGACTTTGGGGGGTGATTAAATTATGTGGGCTTCATGCTTTTATTAAAGAGTCCCAAGAGAGACCTCTCGTCCTTTCCATCACATGAGGACACAGGAAGAAGAACCAGAAGGTGGCCCCTTGCCAGACACCAAATCTGCTGGTGTCTTGATCCTGGACTTCCCAGCCTCCAAAACTGTGAGAAATAAATGTCTGTTGCTGCAAGCCACCCATCCCATAGTCTTCTGTTATGGCAGCTCAAACGATGAGCATTGGCTTAAACGTTTCAGAACACAAGCCTTCATGAATGGGGAACAGAAAAGAGAATCCCATGCTCCACCCCTAATGCTTCCTCTCAGAATGATTTTGTAAACAAATCTGACTCGACTTTCTGAAGTCACATTGAAGTTTTCAAATAACATTTCATTTTAAAAGCAAAAAGTCCACATCACTCTGAAGGACTTAATAGTTATTAGTATTACATTTCACTTAAAATGTAATCTTTCACACGTTATTATGACTTATATCCTAAATTGGGCATTTTTATTAAAACGACTGTGTTTTCCATCCCTTCTCAAACCATGACCCTAAGATTAAGAGCCTCATGCTTGCCAGACTGAGCTAGCTGGGTGTAAATCTGTCTTTTCCTTCCCTTCTTCTCTAACTTCCTTCCTCCCTCCTTAGGGATCTGGGAAGATGTGCTCTGTTAGGGTTCTGCATTCTGGCTTTGCATCTTGTGCCTAATGTACCAGGTACAACTGAGCTTCTGCGTTGGTACCTCCTTCAATCAAATCAGCAGAGGACAAGATCATGGCCAGTGCACTTCTCCATTCTGGCAGGGAAGGAGAGCCTTCCATGATCCTGAGAAAACGTTTATAGCCTCTGGTTTTTAAACTGGAGAAGTTTTAGGATGTCTAGCGGCCCTCCCTGTCTTCTTCGTTTACCCCTCAGCATAGAGTATGTGGCACAACATGCCGCTATAACAAAATTAAAATCTAGCTCCAGTGGGCAATATGTCCCAATGCCTTCATTTCACTTATTTTTGTTTTGTTGAATAAAAGGAAACACCACCCACACAGATCGCGACAAGAGATGCTGGATGTTTTCACGTCTAGCCCATCAGGGTCACATACTAGTTGCCTGAAAGCATTTTTCACCCATAAGAGTTGAGTTTCCCAGAGAACTCTGACCCCTCAGCCCTCCACCCTAAGAAGGTCCTCAGTGCTCCCTGGTGAGAAGCACTCGCTGAGCCCACTGCCTAGCTTGGTTCTTCCTCTCTGTTCTCATCACCTGAGCTGCTGCTTCCCCAGGGAGCCTGGAGGAGTGAGGGCCCGTGAAGCAGCGCCCTGGCCACAGCTTGCCTTCCCCAGGCCACAGGGCCTCACCTCGTAGAAGCCGCGCACCAGTGCCTCGGTCTGCTGCACCACGCCGCGCTCCACCCGCCACTTCACCATGCGCTCGATATACTCCTTCTTGTTCTTCTCTGTCACCTGTGTGTTGGCTCCTCCAGACTTCAACTCCCTTTCCGTGACCTTGTAGGAAAACAGAAAGATTGCAATGCTTGTCGGTTCAGCTTATCTCTCTGGGATGCACACTGATTTTAGGGGGATGACTATAGGCAAAAAAGTCCTCCACGGGGCATTATTCAGCATTATCACCCTTGAAGTCTTTTATCCTTGCTAAAGGACACTAAAAAGGGTTTGACTGTTCTAAGCAGACTGGAGTGCAGTGATGCTATTATAGCTCACTGAATTTCATAGCCCTGAATTCCTGGGGGAAAGTGGTCCTCCTCCCTCAGCCTCCTGGGTAGTTGGGACCATAGATGGGTGCCACTCTGCCTAGTTAATTTTTTTTTTCTTTCTTCTTTTTTTATTTTTATTTTTGTAGAATGTGGTGTATGTTGCCCAGGCTAGTCTTCAACTCCTGGCCTCAAGTGATCCTCCCAACTCCAGAGTATTGGGATTACAGGCATGAGCCATTGCACCTGGCCTCTAAGCAGATTGTTAAGCACCTTGGGAGGGCTACAGTTTTTGTTTTAGACAGAGAAAACAAGTTTCCTATACTCGAGAGGCATGATGGAAATAAAAGGAAAATGTCCTCCCTTGTCCCTAATATTGAAGCTGAATGTGTCAACACTACAATCACATAGTTGATGCCCCCAAATCTCAATTACAGCAAATTCTTAACAGCCATCAGCTTCCATTCCCACAGTTGACCAGAAGACAGTGGTCTTCGGGTGGAGAGTGGGGCATAATATTACACAGCCAGGGCAGCCTGACCCTGGGAAGGGAAGCAGAAGCACGTAGGCACACAGTAAACGGCGCTGCCGCTTGTGTGATGATGCATGTTTCTTAGGACATGCTTGAGTCATCGGGGAAGGCTATGATCCATCTTTTAACAGGCAAGAAGGTAGATAATACACTAGACAGTTTTTAAAAAATTAAAATGTGTTAGTGTTTGGAGGGGATAATCTTCAGTCATCTTGAATTCACTTAAGGGTTCACTGCAATGCTCAATGCTGCAAGACAAATGAGGCATCACTGGACTTAGTTACTGGTTTAAGGAAAAAAATACGTCTGTGTTTGGCACTTGTGGACACAGGTACCTAAACAAAACAGTCCATAAGTAGTCTGACGGTTACTTTTTCTTCTACCACTCAGGTGACCAGTGCAAATTACAAAATACTGGCTAATGATACAAGACTTGTTATCACCAAGCACCCATATTCTTTGGAATGTCTGATTTTTAGCTGCCCAGTTAAAGACTTTATTTTTCAACCTCCCTCCCAGCTAGGTGTGGCATGTAACTAAGTTCTGTCCAATGGGATGTAAGCAAAAGTGCTGTGTGGCACCGTCAGGGGGCCTTCTTGAAGGCACGGGCTGTGTGTTCCTTTGTCCTGCTGCTTTGAACACAGTTATGATGGTTGGGATGCTGTACTCATTTGCGCTAACAGGGCAGGGGGCCTATCCTAGCGATAGCAGTGGGGAGACCTGGAAGGAGCCTGATCCCTGAGGATTCTATCAAATAGAACTTATTTGTTTTTGTTCTTGTTGTTTCTGTTTTGAGACAGGGTCTCACTCTGTCACACTGGCTGGAGTGCAGTGGTGCAATCTCAGCTCACTGCAATCTCTCCCACCCAGGCTCAAGCAATTCTCCCATATCAGCCTCCCAAATAACTGGGACTACAGGTGCATGCCACCACACCTGACTAATTTTTGTATTTTTAGTAGAGACAGGGTTTCTCTAAACCAGGGTTTACATGCTGGCCAGGCTGGTCTCCAATACCTGGCCTCAAGCAAACCACCCGCCTTGGCCTCCCAAATTGCTAGGATTACAGCTATGGACCACCAGAGCAGCTTAAATGGGACTTTTATGTGAGAAAAAAAAGCTTCTATTCATTTCAGTCAGGTCATTTTTGGCATCTTTACTTACTAGTAGCTGAATCTAAACCAAGAACTTATGGTGTCTTTCACCTGCGTCTCTCTGCTCTCCACCATCTAACAACTTGACAAAAGAAGGTCTGCAAGTCAATCTTCCAAAAATCACTCATTGTTCTTGGTGATTTGGAAGAGAAATAGGGTAAACTTTAAACAGATATACAGGTGACCCTTGAGCAACATGGGTTTGAGCTGCATGAATCCACTTGTACGTGGATTTTTTTCAATAAATATATTGGGAAATTTTTTTGAGATTTGCAACGATTTGAAAAAACTCGCAGATGACCTGCATACCTAGAAATATTTATTAAAATTAAGAAAAAGTTTGGAATGTCATGAGTCTATAAAATATGTGTAGATATGAGTCTATTTTATCATTTACTAACATAAAATATATACAAATCTATTATTAAAAAATTTAAATTTATGAAAACTTAACACACACAAACACTTAGAAACTGTACATGGTGCCATTAGCAGTTGAGAGAAATGCAAACTAACGTAAAAATGCAGTATTAAATTATAACTGCATAAAATTAACTGTAGAAATACTGTATTATTGTATAATTTTGCAGCTACCTCCTGTTGCTACTGCAATGAGCTCAGTGTTGCTGATGAACAGCCTCTCTCCAGTAAACTGTGTATCACAGTAAAAAGTGATCTCTCTTGTTTATTGCTTATTTTCCACTGTGTTTAAGTGCAATACCATAAACTTTGAATAATATCGTGGACCCACACAAAGGGCCACTATTGATGCTGGAAATGCTCCCAGGAAACAGAGAAAAGTCCTGATATTACAAGGGAAAACCGAATTGCTTGATAGGATCCATAGGTTGAGGTCTGCAGATGTGGTTACCTACTTTTTCAAAATAAATGAATCCAGCATAGGGACCGTTGTAAAAAAAAGAAAAGGAAGTTCATGAAGCCATCACTGCAGCGATGCCAGCAGGTGTGAAAAGCTGGACTTTGTGTGAAATATCTTTTTATCTCATATTGAAAACACAGCTTTTATGTGAGTGCAGGATTGCTAGAACAATGGCATACCTATAGACTCTAACATGATTCTAGAAAAAGCAAAGTCATTATAATGGTAACTTAAAGCAAAGGAAGATGAAGGATCTAAAGTTGGAAAATTTAAAGCCTCCAAAGGATGGTTTGATAATTTTAGAAACAGGTTTGGCTAAAAAATATCAAGATAACAAGAGCAGCAGCTTGTGCTGACCAAGAGGCACCAGATAAGTTCCTAGACACTGTTAAGAAAATCACTGAGAAGAAAGGATACCTCCCTGTACAGGTTTTTAATGTAGATGAAAGTGCCCTGTTCTGGATAAAAAAGCACCACAGAGGTCCTTTATTAGTAAGGAAGAGAAGTGAGCACCAGGATTTAAGGCAGGAAGTGACAGGCTAACTCTACTGTTTTGTGCCAACAGATTTGGGTTTATGATCAGGATTGCCCTTATCCATTAAGGCTTTAACCCCCGAGCCTTAAAGAGAAAAGAAAACACCAGCTGCCAACAGGAAGGCCTGGATAATGAGAACCTCTTCTCCGGATTGGTTCCATCAGTGCTTTGTTCCTGAAGTTAGGAAGCACCTTGCCAGTAAGCGACTTCCTTTTCAAGTTTTTTTTTTTTTTTATATTGGACATGCCCTTGGCCACCCAGAACCCCCTGAGTTCAACACAGAGGAATCAAAGTGGTCTACTTGGCCCCCAAAACGTCTCTAAATCAGCCTTTAGATCAGGAGTCACAGGACCTTTAAGGCTCATTACACATGGTACTCTATGGAAAGGATGACTTCAATAGAGAGAACACTGTAAAATCCTAGAAAAGTTATGCCACTGAAGATGCCATCATTATTATACAATAGGCCGTGAAAGTCATTAAGCCCCAAACAATAAATTTCTGCTGGAGAAAACTGTGTCTAAATTTTGTGCATAACGTTCTCTTTTCTCTAGCTTTCCTTATTGTAAGAATACAGTTTATAATACCTATAACCTACAAAATATTTGTTAATTGATCATGTTTGTTATTAATAAGACTTCTAGGCCAGGCGTGGTGGCTCACGCCTATAATCCCATCACTTTGGGAGGCCGAGGCGGGTGGATCACTAGGTCAAGAGATCGAGACCATCCTGGTCAACATGGTGAAACCCCGTCTCTACTAAAAATACAAAAAATTAGCTGGGCGTGGTGGCACGTGCCTGTAATCCCAGCTACTCAGGAGGCTGAGGCAGGAGAATTGCCTGAACCCAGGAGGTGGAGGTTGCGGTGAGCCAAGATTGCGCCATTGCACTCCAGCCTGGGTAACAAGAGCGAAACTCCGTCTCGAAAAAAAAAAAAAAGAGAAAGAAAGAAAAAAAAAGACTTCTGGTCAACAGTAGGCTATTAGTAGTTAAGTTTTTGGAGAAACAAAAGTTATGCATGAATTTTCAACTGTGCAGGAGCCAGCACCCTAACCCTTGCATTTTGAAGGGTCAGCTGTACATTATTCAAGATCTACAACACAACCTTATTTTTATCACTGGGAACATTTAGGCTTTTTTCTAAGTTGTTCAGTGCCTACACTTTACACTAGAGGATTGTTCTTTCGTATATTCAACCTTATTCTTTCCTCTAATTTTATGCGTTCAGTTATTTGTAGTTGACTTCATTTTCTTGAATAGATAGTATATGACCACGGAATAACATCCAAATGGTGTAGAAGGCCATAAAATGAAAAGTCAGTTTTCCTCCACCCTAATCTCCCGGCCGTGCATTCTCCCTTTCTGGAGACAGCCATCTCTACTTCTATGCATATGCTGGGTAATGTAGATATATTATCTTTAAAAATTTTTAGAGATGGGGTCTTGCTATGTTGCCCAGGCTGGTCCCCAACTCCTGGCCTCAAGTGATCCTCCCAAAGTGCTGGATTTACAGGCATGAACCACTGTGCCTGGCCAATATAAACTCTTTTTTTTTTTCCTGTAAACAGTAGTGTGTTTTACACACTGTTCTTCACTATCTTTTTTTCTCTTAAAAATATATCTTAGAAATTTTTCATGCCAATTTAACCTGTGTTTTTCTTTATTGTTGTTACTGTACCCTGTTTATCGCTTATGATTATATGTGAATTGAGAGGCTGGGGTGTTCTCGTGCTTTTTAATAACTGCACATGATTTCACTACTCCAGACCGTCACAGATATTTTGCAACTATCAACAAGGCTGTGATGAAGATCCTAACATATTAGTAATTTTAACTAGGCGTTAACGTATCGGTAGGACAAACTCCTAGACACGCGTGCTGAGTCAAAGGCATGCGATTTAAAATACGGACCGATATCACCAAGGTGCCTTTCACAGAGAGTGAATCAAACTTCCACCTACAATGGATAGGAGGGTCTGTTTCTCTACACCATTCCAAAATACTGCTAAATTTTCTGATTCTTGACATTCTAATAAGGGAAAATGGTATCTCACTATAGCTTTAATATATTTTTTTAAATTGTGAATGAGATTATCTCCTTGTCTTTCCCTTTCTGGGAGCTAACTATATTCTTCGTGAATTTTCTATAAGCTTGTTGACTCATCATTTCATATTGATCTGTGGGATCTCTTCTGATATTGAAAGAAATAGTCTTTATGTTACGTGTTAAATGTCCTGTCACTTTCAGTTTGTTTATAGTATAGTTTGCCATGTAGAAATTTAAAAATAATATTTGACTATATCAGATGACTTTTATGACTCTGAGAGTTTGTACCGTATCTGTATCAGCATTCTTTTTTTTTATTTTTTGAGACAGAGTCTTGCTCTGTCGCTGAGGCTAGGGTGCAGTGGCACCATCTCGGCTCACCGCAACCTCTGCCTCCTGGCTTCAAGTGGTTCTCCTGCCTCAGCCTCCTGAGTAGATGGGATTACAGGCGCCCACAACCACACCTGGCTAATTTTTGTATTTTTAGTAGAGATGAGGTTTCACCATCTTGGACAGGCTGGTCTCGAACTCCTGAACTCATGATCCACTTGCCTAAGTCTCCCAAAGTTCTGGGATTACAGGCATGAGCCATCGCGTCCAGCCTCTGTATCAGCATTCTTTAGTGTGAGATTAAAAATAAAAATTTTCTTTTCTTTTTTCTTTCTTTTCTTTCTTTCTCTCTTTCTTTCCTCTCTTTCTTTTCTTTCTCTCTGTCTCTCTTTCTCTCTCTTTCCTTTCTCTTTTCTTTCTCTCTCTCTCTCTGTCTCTCTCTCTTTCTTTCCTTTCCCTTCCTTCCTTCCTTCCTTCCTTCCTTCCTTTCTTTCTTTTTCTTTCTTTCTCTCTCTCTTTCCTTTCTCTTTCTTTTCTTTCTTTCTTTCTCTCTCTCTGTCTCTCTCTCTCTTTCTTTCCTTTCCCTTTCTTTCCTTTCCCTTTCTTTCTTTCTTTCTTTCTTCTTTCTCATTCAGGTTTCTGATACAGCTGGAGTTTATTTAGTGTATTGAGTGAGGTTAGGGATCTAACTTAAAACTTTCACAGATGGCTACCCATTTGTCTTAATACAATGTGTTAAATAATGGTGTATATTTTACATACAAATTTGCCCTCTACAATAGGGCATATGTGAAAGATGGGCTAAAAGTAGTCATGCACAGAGAATGGTGTACTTTGCCTGCTCAGTGGGTACATGGCAGGAAAGTTAAATGAGTAGCATATTCCCGAACATACATAAATGTGCTCTTTAGTGCTTTAGGAAGAAATACATTTTTTCTCAGCTATGTAAGAAAACATTCTTCACAGGCATATTTTTACCGAGGAAATACAGCAGAATGTTGATATTTTCTAGGACCTACCCGAGATTCTTGACTGGGGTGCGGGTGCTCGGCGGCCTGCAGCCTTCATTCACGCTCACGCAGCAACCCAGCACACTGTCCACATTCAGGCGAAGTGCCTCTAAAGCGTTCTCACTTGACTATCACAACAACCCTGTTACAAGTTACTGTATGCCACAGGCTTTGGGGGGCTCTCGAAAATGGGTTTCCCAAACCTCGATTGTTAAATGTACTCAGGCTATGGCTATTTCTGTTAAAACTGTAATGCATTTGACTGGAAGATTTGATGTTATATAAAAGCTCGTAGAAAACAGATGGGAACCTTTATCTTATTATTTAGTGTTGAGATATGTGTGTTTTAGAGGAATAGATAACTGGATATGATAAAAAGTCTCATTTCTGCAGTGGCACAGATAATGGAAATACCTGACATATGTACGGCATACTTTATAAAAATGCTCTCTGGTCCATTATCCCATTTGATTTTCTTTTCTTTTCTTTTAACAGCCTGGTCACTGAGTATTTTTTTTTATATCACATTTGATTTTCAAAAAGTTCCATAAAGTAGATCCATGTCGTAACAAGAAAAAGAAGAAACAGCACATGGGCAGATTTACTAAAGGAGGTAGTTCCCCAGGAATTGTTTTGAATGAATGAGATCCTTTATTCACTAATTTAAAAACAAAATCCCATTACCACATGATCCAGCAATCCCACTTCTGTGTATATATTCAAAATTATTGAAAGCAGGGACTTGAACAGATATTTGTACACTCATGGTCACAGCAGCATGATTCACAATTGCCAAAAGGTGGAATAAATCCAGGTGTTCATCAACAGACAAGTGGATAAATGGATAAACAAAATATGGCATATATATATATATATATATATATCATATTTGTTTATACATATAATATACACATAATGAAGTATTCAGCCTTAAAAAGGAATATTATATATATATAAGAATACTATATATATTTGTATATCTATGTGTGTATATATATTTTATAATATATAATACAATGTTATATAAATATGTAATATTTATATAATATATAATATTTATAAGATATATATTTCATTGTGTGTGTATATATATGTATGTATGTATATATACACATACACACACACACATAATGAAATATTATTTAGCCTTAAAAAGGAAGGAAATTCTGACACATGGTACAACATGGATGAGCCTTGAGGACACTACGCTAAGTGAAATAAGTAAGCCACAAAAAGACAAATATTGTATAATTCCACTTATATGAAGTATCTAGAGTAGTCAAATTCATAGAAACAGAAAACAGAATGGTAGTTGCCCAGAGTTGTGGTGGGAGAAATTGAAAGTTTTTGTTTAACGGGCAGTTTCAGTTTTGCAAGAAGAAAAAGTTCTAGAGATTGGATGCCCAACAACGTGGATATACTTAACAGCAACAAAGTGTACATATAAACATGATTAAGATGACAAATTGTATGTTATGTGCATTTTCCACAGTTAAAAACCAAATCCCTTTTCCAAGCCCCATATCACACAAACCTGTCCGAAAACCTCTTCATTAACAGTGAAAGTGAGGTCTAGGATGTCTGTGATGTTGTTGTCCTTCATCCACTGCAAGCTCTGGTGGAATTCCTCATCCAAATATTCCAGGTCACTCAAATCACAGGGCCTGGGTGGATTCAGTGAGAAAGGCAAACAGAATTACCGAACAAATGGATGCCCAAACCTCACTTCAAAATGTGGTTGTATCATTCCTGGCTAAAACATCACAGACTTAGCCTAACAATTTGATGCTTTTGAATACACTGATGAATCAGCTCATTCAGTCATTTTAGTTCATTCAGTAATTTTCCTTTGAAAAGGAAATGTGAAATTATTTACAATAACAAACATGAAATAATTATTGGCTCACGGACTCTTTGCATGAAAATTGGAGAAAGTGATCATTTTAAAACAACTAAGTTATAAACAGACCAGTTCTACTGAATAGTTTAACACAATGTTTGTAATATTATTATTATTATTTATTATTTATTTTTTTTTTGAGAAGGAGTTTCGCTCTTGTTACCCAGGCTGGAGTGCAATGGCATGATCTTGGCTCACTGCAACCTCCGCCTCCTGGGTTCAGGCAATTCTCCTGCCTCAGCCTCCCGAGTAGCTGGGATTACAGGCATGTGCCACCATGCCCAGCTAATTTTTTGTATTTTTAGTAGAGACGGGGTTTCACCATGTTGACCAGGATGGTCTTGATCTCTTGACCTCGTGATCCACCCACCTCGGCCTCCCAAAGTGCTGGGATAACAGGTGTGAGCCACCGCGCCCGGCTGTGTAATATTATTATAATTTTTATATAAAGTGATTCATCTCCATGATATGACATTTTGATAACAGAATCCTACACCAACAGAAAAATCCCCAAATGCCTTTTTATAAAAGTACTAAAAGCTGTATGGTGATATCTAAGCACTCAGGACAAAAAGGTGCCATAACACTAACAGGAATGGTTAGGGCAAAACAGGGACAAAACGGTCAGTGGCACCAGAGAGGCTGATGTCCTTGCCCTGCAGATGGGGCCGGGATGGAAGTATGGTCTGCAAAGCACTTACAGTCTCAGGAGTGCCTTATAGAAGGGCCTCGTGAAGAAAGCGTCGAGAAGGTACTGATGGATCAGAGCCAGGCCCAGGATGCGACCGCTAAACCTGAACCTGGAACACAGACAAAGCAGAGAAATGGGCAGGTGGAAATTCACATTGTTAAATATTTTAATTTGCATTTTTATCTGATGTGTTTGTTTAGAGTATTCATCTTAAGCTGCATAAGGAATCTCCTCATGGATGACGCCAGGGAGGCGCCCGTTCTCCTCCTCCTTATGCTTTACCATGAGCAATGCCTGCGTGCTTGCTGGGTATGAAAGGAAGCCTCCTCTCCCCGCCATGTAGCAGACTGCAGTCATTTTTCCAGAACCTTTTTCAGACCTGGGAGAATGAGGAGCCAAGAAGAGGAAAGCACTGGGAAGGGGAATTCAGGAATCTTAGAAAAATAGCCCACACTGAACTGCAGGCAGACCTGGATCCAACAACGCAGAGGGCTTTCGGGATGTGTGTCCTTATCCATTCAAGCATTTTATCTGCGTTACTTAACGGTCCATGCTGGCAGGTGGGGATTTGGGTATGGAGCCCATATGGCAGTTGTGCTTGCAGACAGTGGGGAAGACACAGAATCACAACATGGTAGGAGAGAAGCTGAGTGGGCATCGTTCTTTAAAATTGCCAGCCACATAAAAGACAGAATGAGGTCACTGCTAGAAAGAACTGGTCATACAGACCTGGCCACCTCTAGATATAAGTACCTTTACTGATTTAAATCCTTGTCAGAGCATTAACTTCCTGAACATTTTGCTAGTAACCTGCTTAGCAAAACGCTGAGGCTACCTGGGCTTGATCCCATTGTTGCCTGCTCCTAAACCAGCTTCTTGCCTGCCTGTTCTAGCACCCTGTGCTTTCCCACCACGTGGGCTTTAGCTGTCTCTGGCACTTATTTTCTTTTCTCTTTTTTCTTTTCTTTTCTTTTTTTTGAGATGGAGTCTCACTCTGTTGCCCAGGCTGGTCTGCAGTGGCACAATCTCGGCTCACTGCAACCTCCACCTCCTGGGTTCAAGTGATTCTCCTGCCTCAGTCCCCTGAGTAGCTGGGACTACAGGCACCTGCCACCACGCCCAGCTGCTTTTTGTGTTTTTAGTAGAGAGGAGGTTTCACCATACTCCTGATGAGTGAAGTATGGGCGGGTCTCAAACTCCTGACCTTGTGATCTGCCCGCCTTGGCCTCCCAAAGTGCTGGGATTATAGGTGTGAGTCACCACACCCAGCCAGTGGCACCTACTTTCATAACTGGGGTCTCTCTGGTGTCCACGCTAACTAGGTTTTCACCTAATCATTGCTTTAGTTGTGAATGTTCTCAGATTCTCCCTGTCAGAATTTTCAACTAACCTATCTCCAATGCCTTTTTTGTGGCTCTTTCTGGACTCAGAGGGTTTCCTTCTCTATCAATACTATAAAAATGTTAAAATGAATAGATTATCTGATTCCCTAGAACAAGCGTATTTATAAAAACACTTCAAATTGGTATGTTTGAAGTAGCTGATTCTTTTTCTATGAAATAACATGCTAGTGTTATTGACTCTGAGAGACCAGAGGCAAACAGAATCTCAGTGAAGGTGCTGTGGGGCTCTGTGGATAGGGGGCTTCCGGGATAGTGGGTCCTTGAGACTGGGTACCCCACCAGTGCCTCATTCCTCAGTGCCCTTTCCTGACTACCCTAATAACTGGCCGGTCCTCAAGACAGTAACCACATCCTGTGTATAAAAACAGTTATTTTCTACCCCAATAGAAAGTTGGCCCACCTACTCTAAATAGACTCTAGGGCACTGTAACCGATGCTTCTAACATGATAGTAGGGTTGTGGCCATCTAGGTCAAGGTGACCGAGATGATCCAAACCAGGAAAAGAGCAAAGGTCAGCACAAAGGTGCTGGGCCTGGGCTTCCCCACTTAGAGGGGGCCCCTGAGGATCCCATAAAGAGAGTTGGGAATCACAGCAGGTAGTAATATATGTAGATATGGGATAAATGATAACATTAAATGAATTACTATTTTCAGCTTAGTGCTAAAAAACTGAGTATCTCAATGAATTAAAAATTTTCTAGCAAAATAAAAATTATTCAGATTTATTCAGGAAGATGTAGAAAACTTAAATAGACGATAACTATAGTGCCAAGTAGAAAACTTTGAAGAAAAAGGACTATCTCCAAAATTGATACTGGGACTGGATATATAGGTCTTTAAAGATGTGTTCTTTCAAAGACTCAAGGACAGAAAACCTTTCTGCTATTTAAACAGTTCCAGAAATCAGAAAGGGGTGGAAAAATCTCTTCAGTCATCATTATGAGCTACCATAACCACAGAGTGGAGCCTGGAGATAAAACAAGACAGAGAACGAGAGAAAATGTCACTTGTACATAAATCCTAAAAAAACACAAGAGAATTGCACCTACTAGTTCATTCCCAGAACAATGCAAAATGATTAAGGATGTTTAATTATAATAAGGATAGTTCAATATTAAGAATTCTATTACTAAAATCAAGTATGAGGTCAAAAGACAAAAATCATACCACTTTTTTTGGGGATATAAGCTAGAAAGTTACTTGAAAATATCATCACCAATTTCTTTTTTTTTATTGCATTTTAGGTTTTGGGGTACATGTGAAGAATATGCAAGATAGTTGCATAGGCACACACGTGGCAGTGTGATTTGCTGCCTTCCTCCCCTTCACCTATATCTGGTATTTCTCCCCATGCTATCTCTCCCCAACTCCCCACCCCCTGCTGTCCCTTCCCTATACCCCCCAACAGACCCCAGTGTGTAGTGCTCCCCTCCCTGTGTCCACGTATTCTCATTGTTCAACACCCGCCTATGAGTGAGAACATGTGGTATTTCATTTTATGTTCTTGTGTCAGTTTGCTGAGAATGATGGTCTCCAGGTTCATCCGTGTCCCTACAAAGGACACGAACTCATCGTTTTTGATTGCTGCATAATATTCCATGGTGTATATGTGCCACATTTTCCTGTCCAGTCTATCATCTATGGGCATTTGGGTTGGTTTCAGGTCTTTGCTGTTGTAAACAGTGCTGCAATGAACATTCGTGTGCATATGTCCTTATAGTAGAACGATTTATATATAATCCTCTGGATATATACCCAGTAATGGGATTGCTGGGTCAAATGAATTTCTATTTCTAGGTCCTTGAGGAATCGCCACACTGTCTTCCACAATGGTTGAACTAATTTACACTCCCACCAGCAGTGTAAAAGTGTTCCTATTTCTCCACATCCTCTCCAGCATCTGTTGTCTCCAGATTTTTAAATGATCGCCATTCTAACTGGCGTGAGATGGTACCTCAATGTGGTTTTGATTTGCATTTCTCTGATGACCAGAGATCATCACCAATTTCTAGAGAAAAAAAAATCTTTGTAGTAAACCAGCAAGAGAAGAATGCTTCCTTAACAAAATAAAGCACATCTATCTCAGCAATATATTTAACAATAAAAATACTGAAGGATGCTGGTTATTACCACTCTTCACAATATTCCATCAGCTCTAGTCACTGTAGTTAATTATAAATGAAAAATTGGAAACAGATTAGAAGCAACCGTTATCAAATGCCTCTTGGGCCAAGGCATGTTATTCACAATATCTTTAATGACCCAGTTCTATTTTATGGTTTTGGTCATCTCCATTTTGCAGATTAAGAAACCGAGGGTCAATAAGTAGCCCCAGGCAAGTGGTACAGTGAGGAAACTGACTCACATCTGCTTGACACCAGATCAGGCCTTTTCCTTTGTGTCTATTTTGAGATGTGAGCGATGCAGAGAGGTTGCTAGGCTGGGCTCAGGGGCCAGGCTGCCTGCTGTGCGACCTTGTGTGAGGGTTTAACCTCCTCCTTCTCAGTTTCTTCTTTGGAAAACTTCACTCTTTAAATGTTAACTATTTTTGCTATTAATATTTTATGTTGGCTACCAACATCTCTTGTGCTAATTAGATGTATTTTGGTTCAAGTAACCTTCAACCAGCTTAAGCCCTCTAAGGCCAGGTGGCGTCTCTAGGAATCCAGGGTCAGGAATGCAGTTGGGCCTCAGGAACACCAGGGAGGTGAGCGATGTTGCCCCTCCTCGTCCAGTTTCTTGCCACGGCTCCTCTAAGCTCGTTTCTCCTCTCACTGCCAACACCTCCCATGGTTTACATCCCAGAGTTCAACACAAGAGAGACCAACTCGACTCCCTCTGATCCAGGTCTAAATTGTCAGCATGATTCTCTAACTATTCTAACCCGGATCAGTCATGAACAACCAGGGAGGAAATCTCAGTCTCGAGTACTTCACAGTGAGAACCGCCGTTGCTTGCCTCTCAACCAGGGGGTGGGATCAGATGGAGTGCAGGAGACAGGGTTCCCTAGAACAGGGGACTTCAGCGCAGACTGCCAGCAGAGAATTGTGTATTTGCTTTGAACTGGGTAGACAATAAGGTGGAATTTCTAAATGCAGAATTACACTATTTTCACGGACTGACATGGGCAACCAGTAAGCCCTGGATATTTTAAAATAATTGTGCAACAAAGCTATGATAATGTGGTTTGGCTTTCTACACCCACAGATGGGATGGCTCTAAGCCAGTCCCATATATACCATAACATATATTCCAGAGCCATGAACTATGATCTGGGACATCTTAGTATAAAGCAAAATAAAGCAACTGCACAATTCAAACCTAAAACAAAAGCTGATGGAAAAAAACCACCAGCACTTTGGGAGGCCGAGGCGGGTGGTCAAGAGATGGAGACCATCCTGGTCAACATGGTGAAACCCCGTCTCTACTAAAAATACAAAAAATTAGCTGGGCATGGTGGCGCGTGCCTGTAATCCCAGCTACTCGGGAGGCTGAGGCAGGAGAATTGCCTGAACCCAGGAGGCGGAGGTTGCAGTGAGCCGAGATCGCGCCATTGCACTCCAGCCTGGGTAACAAGAGTGAAACTCCGTCTCAAATAAAAAACAAAAACAAAAAAACCCACCACCAAACCAATAGCTGATGAATTGCTGTATGTGCAATTCTATGAATGAGAAAACACCTTCTAGTCATGGTGCATCCCTTTAT